GAGAGGAGAGAGAGAGGAAAGTTAAACGGGCTCATTTAAAATGTGGTCCCCTTCCAAAAGTTCATCTTAGAGATGATTTTGGATTTAAAATTTCTCAGGTTGATAATCTTGACCACCACCATCATGAATTAGAAAAAAAGTAGATTTTAAATCTTTTAAGTACATGTTTTAAACAACTAAAATGAATGGTCCAAAAACAATTCGAAACCAAAGTTTATTCAGTTTTTTGGTTTGAAATTTACTTTTTTTTGTTTAAAATTTCTTTAAGACGGATTTTTGATGGAGACCACACTTCAATAGGAGGATTGGCCTAAAATTTTGTCAAATCATTTTTGCTTCATCATATGATCAATTTCGAGAAAGGGATGAGAACACTTTTGCACTCAAAGTTCCCTAGATTTGACACAAATGAATTGTCAAAATTCAGTCTTGAAGGGGATTTGTTTGATCCATTTTTTGAGCTTCAAATCATCTTTTTGTTTTAATAAAGATTGATCTTAGAGTGTGATAAATACGATATGAGAAATTTGGGGTCCACTAAAAAGTCCTGAGTAGGACTTTGCCCTATGGATCGAAATGAACAATTTAGATTTGAAGGTCCTCCAGAGAGAGAGGGAGAGAGATTTGTGTATTACATATGTGTGTGCATGTGAATTAGACATGCCTTTGGTGCAGGCTAGATCGTTCAGCAGTAGTGATGAAAGGAAACGCATAGTGGACCCAATTGTTCTCGGTACTTCTGGACAAGAATCGTTATCTGTTGTAATCTCCATAACTAACAGATGCCTCTCTCCAGAGCCATCAGCACGTCCCTCCATTGAAGACATTCTTTGGAACTTGCAGTATGCGGCACAAGTCCAGGCCACTGCCGATGGTGATAGAAGGTCCGAAGACAGTTCATGTACATAAAAGTGCACATTAACATCAAATGCAAATTGCAAAACTGGTTCCTTTCTCATACTATTTGAGTTTCACTGAGTTTTACTCTCCTTAGCATGATCCAGAATTTACGGCACCTGGATTGTTGAAACGGAGTAGTTACACAAAGATCATTTGACATATTGCCACTTGATCCACCTGCATGCTTATGTGGTCTTTGATCAGGTGACGGGTAGTGTAATTCGTATATATGGTGCCATCTTGTTTATATAATGCTGATTCTAGCCACTTTTGTGTTTGTAAAACTGTTATATATGGTGTTTAATGATTTTGATTCTTTATCCTCATGTAGTTTGTAGCCTTTTCTAGATGTAGCCTGTCCAAAATAGTTGTTATGAGTGCACTCATGGGAGTTCTTCATTAAAGTTGCCCATCGCTTTTCACACTTGAGCTCTCCTAATTAAGGATCAACATTAACTTGTTTTTCAGCTATAAATATAAAAGAAAAAAATGATTGAATTCTCTAAAGTGGGAAAGAAGTTGGCATGTGGAGACATGGATGGTTGTGATGCTGAAGTTTTAGCAGTCAAAAACTCATCGAGTTGACATGGAATTGCCCATATGGTCCTAGGATAGTGGTCCCATGTTCTAGTGGCTTTCAAATCAAGGAGTCGCCTGGATTTGACTGGAACCACCTGGTTCATGTACGAGGCTCAGGTGAGTTCCTAGTCCTAAGGGAATTGCTTGAGTTAAAGTTTTGTGTTGTACAGAAAGTGATGGGTTTTTAGTCTATATTGGGAAATAGAGAAGAGAAATGATATAGTTAAATGGAAATGCTCTCTTTTGTTGTATGTATAGAATCTAGTAGGGAGTATGCTACTCATGTGGAGTGCACGAAGCGTGTACCTCCTGTGTATGTGGGTGTGCAAGGAGCAAAGGTGCTTGAGTTGTAATTTGCAGTTCACTCTCGCATTGGCCTAGATGTGCCCTTAGATCGCATTCATATCAGTGCAGATGTGCTATTAGCAAATGCATTTTATGTGGATCGGGCTTGCAGATTGCCGTCTTTTTGAGCCGCAATGGTGCATGCAATGCAATGAGCTGGAGGCGCTTGGTCGAAGTCCTATTGCATCAGCCGTGACGGTGCACATTACACAATGAGTCAGAGATGCGCTCAACTATGAGTGACTCATCGCTTGTGGTGATGCTGCTAGTGAGAGTTGCTCTCAATAATATTTGTAGACTAAGTCATTCATGGATATTTCGATACCTTAGCGATTGAGGCAATATCGCCACAAGATACATTGCTCAAAATACTAGAAAGCATTTCTTCCCTTGCTTTAAAAGGATACATCTAAAAATTAAAGGTCAAAATCCAACAAAAACCAAAAAAAAAGGAGATTGCTTTACTTTTAGCAAACCCGGTAATTATTAAGGGAATGCTGACATCAAAATGGGCCTTAAAAGCCTGAAAATCAAGTAGATATGAACACCGAAGAAAATTAATGGCCATGGTAAGTGAAATGAATATGATAAAACAAAGAGGAAGGTTGGTGGGCAGACATAGGGACTATCATACATGTTTCAAATAATTGAGACCTCTTTAGGACGTATGAACCGGTAGGTGATGAGAACTAGTTCAATTGACATAGGCTATTTTAAAGATGTGTGGTAAAGGTAAAGTTGAACTAAAGTTCACTTCAGGCAAAGTATTGACCTTGGAAAATGTGTTTCATCTATTAGAACTAAGAAGAAACTAAAAAGGAATTTGATGTCGGGTTACAATAAGAAAGTCATATGGTTTGATAAGATCATTTTGACCACAAATTGTATTTGTTGAAAAGGGACTGTTGAAATGAGATGTTCAAGCTTGACTTGAGTAATGAATTAAAAATTTCTTCTATTTATATTGTGTCTTTGTAATTTGTGGCATGCTAGATTATAATTTTTTTAATTATATGTTTTTATTAAAACTATGATTAAATTAGGTGTCATGTGATGATTTATCAAAAGAAAAGTGTGAGACATGTGTACAAGCCAAAATGACAAGATAGACTTTCCCTTTAGTAGACAAGAATGCCGAGTTATAGAACTTGTGTGATTTACATGATGTATTCACAAAGGGAGGGAAAAGATATTTCATCACTTACATAGATGATTTCTTTGGTTTATCGCATATGTATTTACTACAGCATAAAGATTAACCATTCAAAAAGTTCAGGATTTTCAAAGTAAAAAATCAATTAAATAAAAAAATAAAGTTTCTAAGAAGTGATAGGGGTGAAGAATATTTATTAAATGAGTTTACTAGTTTTTGTGAAAGAAATGGTGTTGTACATCAAGTGACGGCTCTTTACACTCCTCAACTCCTCAACAAAATGTTTTCGATGAGAGAAAAAATAAAACTTAAGTAGAAATGATTAGTTCAATGAAAATAAATTGCTTTTAGCTTTGTGGGGTGAAGCTTTTCAACATGGTTTATAATTAATAGTGTATTATATAAGAAAGTAAATGACTGCACATGAGCTATGATTTAATAAGAAGCCATCTTTAAATTTTTTTAAAGTATGGATGCTTAGCCTCTATACAAGTCTCCTTAATTTAAAAAGAAATATATTGGGATTAAGAGCTTATAGATGTGTATTTGAGGGGTACGCACAAAAGAGTAAAGCATGTAGTTTCTTGAACTAAGTTGAAATATGATAATAGAATCTAAAGATGCAGAATTTTTTAGGGAAATTATCGTAAATATATCTGTATTTGTACAAAATAGGAAAAAAAAATCCCAAACTTTCAAAAACCTTGTCTACACCCTTTCGCATTATTTTCAGGTTTTTTTTGGACGAAATGACCTTCACGTTAGTCTTTTTACCGTAAAGAACATTAATGTAATTTAAATACCGTAATGACTAGCAAATTTTATATGGTAATTTATTTACCGTCATTCTTAGAACATTTTATACGGTACTTTAATTATCGTAGTGTAATAACATTCTATTACGGTAATCGATCTAGCGTAATATTTTACATATATTATACTGTCTTAAAATAACCGTAATGTACTCCTGCCTTTTTTTTCTTTCAATTTTTTTGCATAAAACCCTATTTTCACAATTTGTTTAGCATTTTCTTTATCCTTAGCGTCCTCCCTCTCTCATCCATTTTCTATCTATTTCATCCATTTTCCTCATATCATCTATTATGTATCAATATTTGAATGAGGTATTTGAGAGCATCAAATATACACACCAACACTATTTTATAGGTATGTCATCAAAATATTATGTTGTTTTTCTATAGTACTTGATATAGTTTGATTAAAATATTACATAAATGAGTTTTAAATTTATTTATATTGTTGCATAAATAAGTTTTAGATTTATTTAATGGGTGGCCATCAAAATAATGTTTTTCTATAATACTTGATGTAGTAAGGTTGGCCATTGTAGTTTTATTTATATTTTGGTATCTGTATTGTAATCTAATGTCCCTCTATAATGCAACCTCCTCATTATATATAAGTATTTTGAAACTTCTTATAAGTATTTTGAAACTTCTTATAAGTATTATATATTTGTTTCCATCTAAAATTTCAATGCAGTGATTGAGATGGTACACAATAATAATGGGTAACAACAGAGTGAATATCGTTTTACACCTTGGTGGTTTTTTCAAGAAGAAATCTAATGATGGATGTATTTTATATGAAGGTGGGGACATGAAGGTTATATTTTTTAAGGGGATCCCATTATTTGACCAAGTGAAGGATCACTTGTCAAAAGTATCAAATTATACCTGAAGTACCATGATTATTAGGTATATTGACCCAAGGTTACCACGTAACAATAATATGATACGTGTTGATGATGATGACGACATTGCAAATATGATGGAAGGGTCTTCTCCCATTGTTATATACGTATCAAACAGACCTATTGAGTCCAACTGCACTGAATATTGACCACCAACAATGCCCGATAATGGTCCATCAAGATTGGTCACGTAAGAAGTTTGCAATGAAAATCATGAATTTTCTTATTTGTTAATTTTATGTTGTGTTAGGACAATTTTTACTTGTTATTAATTTTTCTTTTTTACAGCACTTACCGATCAGAGCAAGTAGTTCACAGTGAAGGTGTTGCTGCTATAGGTATAGAAGCGCCCTCAGGATTAATCGTTACGAAGTTGTACTTCAATAAGATCAGGATTTTGATGATGTACAGGCATGCTGTAATCACCTTATTGATTATGCCATATTACAAAACTTCAATATGAAGTTTATAAAAAGCGAGGAGAGACGTGTATGGGTAATGTATGCTACAGATGGCGTTCATGGCAACTGCGATGTTGGAGATGTTGGAGGGTTAATACAACAAACTTCTTCAGGGTGAAAAAAATTGTAAATGTGCACTCATGTCCCGGTGCAATTGGTAAGGTTCATCAGCTGCTTGCCCGAAGCCGTTGGGTGGCAAGCAAGATCAAAGATCATTTGAATGATATGCCCAATCTGACAACTGAAGATGTGGTTAATGATATACAACATGATCACGGTGTCATGTGATCTTACCAACAACCATGGTGGGGCAAATAGGTTAGATAAGAGATAAATGAGGGTTAAGGAATACAGGGACCTCGTTAAGTACCTTAATAAGATCTGAATCACTAACCCTGAAACCGTAACGATTATTCACATAGATGATCATGATAGGTCTGAGTGTGTGTTTATTGGCAATCATTTATGTTTGTATGGTTTTATGTTTGGTTGCAGGCCACTTATGGGAAGGACTAGATGAGACATTTTTGAAGGGAAGATACAAAGGGATACTATTGGCTGCAGTTGGGTTAGATGCAAATGAAAATATATTTCCTATAACATATGTAGTGGTTGAGGGTGAAAATACACCAAGTTGGATTTGCTTTTTAGAGCTTCTCAATTAGTAGTTTGACGAGAAGCCTGATTTGCTAGCATTGCCTATTATCTCAGATTGTCAGAAAGGGTTACACGCTGCAATTGAAAAAGTATTCCCAACTAGTGAACAAGGCTATTGTATGAATCACTTTGCCAATAACTTAAAAAAGACCTATAGAAATTCGACGCTCACAAAGCTTTATTGGAAAGCTGTATGTGCATTGTCTATAACAGACTTCAATGAGTACATGACAAAGATTAAGAATGCAAATACTGAGGCATATGACTAGATCATGTTACAGCATCCAAAATATTAAACAAATACATATTTTCAAGGGTATTGATATAATCATCTTACCTCGAACATCTCTGCATCATATAATCGGTAGCTATTATAGGCTCTGGAGAAGCCCCTTATTAAACTCCATGAGT